AATGACTTTAAAACAAATAGCCAATGAAGGACTTAAAACTAAAATTCCTCCTTCCTCTGACACCCACCATATAAACAATAATAATTATATAAAACCATGTCTAACACATGACTACACAAGGCTCTGGTGACCAAGAAAAGCACACACTGCTTGTCAGACATAATTGCATATTTGGTTTTTCAATTACTTCTTGCAAAGATCCAGAGCCCACTAACTGAATGCTGACATTAATTATTGGTAAGTAGTTAGTTTTACAATAGTATTATGAAGATTCTCAACAATTACCCTGAGGTCTGCATTTCTGAATGATGTTCCCACACTATCCTCGATTCCCATCGCAAGTCCTTCAAGAATTGTCACACAGATTCATACCAGTGAATGAATCAAATCTGGTCCATTCAGTTCAGGGCTTCAGAAGAAGGTTCAGGAAACTTTCCAGTAGACTGCTGTAGGGTAACTGATCCCCAGGAAATTCTCCTAACCCAAAAGAACCATGTCGCCTACAGGTCACATCTTCCAGAACAGTCCAGTCCCTTCTGAACGCGACCCAAGCACTGGTCTCCATCACTTAGTGATACGTTCCAAAAGCTAAGTGCCATCACGTAAGAAAAAAATACCTCTTTTTATTGACTTTTAATTTGTTATCTTTTATTTTTGTTGACTGTTTTTTTTTTCTTGCAAAAGGAAAAAATAAGTCTCTGATCTAGCTTTTCTAGACCGTTCAATAACATGCACAGCTTTGTCATGTTGTCTCTTAGTTGTCATCATCTCCAAGGGAAACAGCCATCACTTCTCTAGCTCCCTTAAAAGAAGGTTTTTCTATGTTGTTAATAATTCTCCTCAGTTTCTAAAATTTCCTATTAATAAGCATACAGTGAGGAGCAGGAATCACACACAATTTTAAAAGGTAGGAAATACTGAGTGCTCTCTGACACCACCAATTCTCAGTTGAAAACAGCTGCACGCTGAACCATGTTATTTCAAAGGCAATAGACAGGTCAAATCAGAGCTGTGAAGGCTGTAAGATCATAAAAATCTTGCGCCTTCAGAGCTTGAAACATTTACTTGAAATAGAATAAAATTAATTCAAGGCAATAAATAAAAATAGGAGTGACAATTCTACAGTCACAACATTAAAATCAAGCATATCGTAGTAAAAAAAAATGCAGAAAGGTAAAGTTACCCTGGCAACCTTATTTTGCTTATATTTTTTATTGATAGAAATTAATAGTAAAGCGCTTACACTATAGCTTGCAACTAATGAGACAGTTTCAAACAGCAATAACTATGAAAAACAACATCTATCTCAGCCACTAAAGGCCTCAGAAAAGATTTTGTCAAAGCTCATTTTCAACCTTTAGTCACTAATATAGCTTTCTTGAAATATTAAGATTTTTATTCTGTTTTATTTTTTAAATAGATTTCATTGTTTTTCTTTTTTGCTCATCTTTTATTCAGTCCGCTAAATGATGAAATGAGCAACCACAACACTTACTCTCAATGTATTTTAAAAAAGAGAAAAAAAAGGAAATAAGTTCTGGCACTCTGACAGCTACATCATTAATTAAGGGCACAAATGTGGTAACTGCTTTTGGAAACACTAGCATTCACACCCAGGAAGAGGGCCAGGCACACAGCCCACCGACTATCTCCTGCACGCCAGGACAAAGCGGACACCCACAAAGGACACACTCCCAAAGGCGTCAGCTCCCTCACTGAGAACGTGCTCATTAACCTGTGTTGCAAAGCCCTTCAGGAAGGGTTGCAAATTCAAATTAAAAGTCAGTCAGAAGAAAGACTTTGGAGGAAGGAAACGGTGTCCAGTTCCTCTCACTCATCTCTCTCTTTCGCCAGTGCCTGGTTTTCCTTCCAGAGCTTTGTTCCGGCTGTCCCAAGAGCGAGCCCACACCAGTGCACACGCTACCTCACCAACGAGCCTCTCCAAAATATGGTGGCGTGGCCTGGCTTTTCTCTGTACCTTTACAAGTGTTGCCTGAATTTATAATACGCAGAGCTCCTCCTAACTGTGTTTTATTAGGGACATTAAGAAGGAGTAACAAGAGGCCCCTGTACCTACGACCTGACACTGAGAACAGCAGCCCCCAAGAGCAGTGCTCCAGCCTCTCTTTCCATCCCGAATTAGAGGGTCAATGTGCCGGGGACACTCGGCAGGAGTGAGAAGCTGCCTTTCACCACGGCAAGGCAGCTGCCCTCTGCTCATCGCTGACAGCATTGACAGGGGACCAGACAGCAGTTTTCCTCTGCACGAGACGCCCAATGCTGGCGTGGTTGCCCACTACGGAAATCTGCCTCCTGCTCTTACTCAAGCCCTGATCTAGCAGACAACCAGGTGCCTTTCAAAGCCAGGCAACACAGCATTAATAAAGAGCTTCAGGTAAATAACACTGCTTTATTCTGAAATAATTTTTTCTTATACACCTAAACCACTGAGACAGGGCGTTGGGAGGAGCGATGGAAGGGAAAGTGGTTGTCGTGGCAGAGGAGCAAACGATGCACATTTAACAACAGTAGGTGGAAGAAGGACTTCGCGTGAAGAATTTCAGAGATCAGAAGAACAGAACTGGATTTTAACACGGAAGGAAGCATTTCACCTGACAGATAAAACTTTAGCAGTGCCTTTAAGTCTCTGAAGGAAACAGGAGGGTGTTCTGGAATACTATTCGTAGAGACAGTATCACTTGCTAGTGCAAAGGTGAGGACATAAAATACAGATCAAGCTTTAGAAGAGGAAAGCAGCCCGGCAGGAGAGCAGTGATTCCAGCTGCCTAGCTTCAAGGAGCTCTGGGTGCCCAGACAAAAGCCTCATGGCTCAAAGGAGATCTGTTATACTGAAGTGCTTCTGGGTCTTCCCTCAAAGCCAGCTGAGAGCAGCACTAAGGCTAGGAGCACTGACTGGCAAGATGAATTTCACTGCCTGGGTGCACAGACGATGGTCTCAATCTGCACAGATGATGACCACTTGCCACCAGCACATCAAAGCAAAGACAGCAGTGCTATCAGTCCAGGGTTACTGGGTCTCCAGCCGCATCCCACTTTCCTCAAGCAGACACAGTGCCTTGGCTTTCATCGCTTGCCTTCCACTAGCACCAAAAGCAGCATCAGCTTCAGGACTGTCCAAGCAGTCGTGTCCTTATTGCCAAGGAAGAAACAGGTGAGCCCAATGGAAGCGTCTCATGGATGGGGTGCAGCCCACCAGACCATGCCAACTTTTTCCACAGCAGCCAAACTGGCACAGATTTTCTATTGTTAATCTCCCCCCGCGCCCCCCATTCTGACGTGATTCCTAAATGGTGCCTCAGGTGCTTCATGGACCTCACTTTAATGAGCTGTGCGCCTTCCCAGCATTTATTGTTACTTCCCTGTCTTTCCTACCGTTTTCCTCCAACTCTCACAGATGCTTTCCTGCTCTGTGGAAGCCTGCTCCCTGTCACAGGCCATGCATTCTGCGATACAACTTTAGCATTGCCCACGTTTACCGCCTGACATCTCTAATCTCCTACGTCACCACCCATTTTTACCACAAAATGTTTTAATCCTGAAAGATGAGTTTGCCATTTTGGGGATGGCTCAACAATAAGGAACAAGCTTGGAGTGTGGATGGCACCAGATAAATCAGATTGCTCCCAGGCAGAGTCTCTCTCTTCTCTGCTCCCCATCATCTCTCCCACAGCTACCTAGCACATGAACTCTTCTCTACAGTGGAAGCCCAGCTAAAGCATACTTTTCCATACTTCCACAGCTTAGTGGCTGTCTTGTCCAGCAGCGGCAATGAATGCTGCAAAAGGAGGCCTTTCCAGCAGACCCCTCAAGACCACTGGAAGCATGCATGCAAGTATTAGATGACCCATCACTGAAACACAGTCAACTCAAGGAAAAGCGAACACACTCAAGGGCATTGGGTTTGGCAGACTGCTCTAGGTAACAGTAGCACTTCCACAGCATGACCGCACTGATTTCCTGGACCAAATATTCCCCATTCCCACCATTCATCCCTGGCTCCCGGACTCCTCAGCTAAGCCTCCGGAGGTAAAAAATGACTGAAAAGCATTTTCTTTAATTCTAGCCCCACTGCATCTCCTGGGAACACCAGCAAGGTAAGATCCCCTACAACACTAACAGACAGGAGACGGAGAGGCCTTGGCACAGGGCTGGCCTGACCTCATCCCTCTTTTTTGTCTTGTTGAGCTTGCTTCCTTCTCCCTCACTCATGGATGCACACCTGGGCTGCACACCTTCCTTCCCACTCTCCGGAGAGCTGCCGGGGACCCAGAGGCAGGCTAGGCTGCCAGGCAGATGAGCTCTGTGCCTTGCCCTGGGTGTCTTGCCCATAGCCATCTACCTGGGAGGCAGTGAAGGGAGAGGAGGCAACACTACCAGCGGGTGGGATGGCAGCAGCAGGGATGCCCGCAGTAAAGTCCCATACTTGTGACCTGAGAGTGCTTCACTCTGAGGAGCCCCTGTGCTCAAAGCAGTTGCCTGCAGGAGCTGCAGCGACATCGCTTTATCCTGGGCCTGGAAGCAGCTGCTGCCCCTTACTTCTCTAGGCCCACAGCATGCAGAGAGATCAGAGGGGGCTGGGGGCACAGGGACACCCCTCCCTCCTCTCTTCTTGCACAGGAACAGGGCGGTCTTCACCCAACTACTACAACACCGCCAAGGGCCTCCATCAAAGGTCCTGGAAGCCCAACATCACATCCTAGGTGTGGTACTGGGCCAGGGAGACCCAGGCATACCACCCTGTACTGCTTACAAACAAGCATTTCCTTGCAACCCCAAAGGCCAAAATTATGTTTCATCAGTCTATTCATTTAGCACCATCTAAAAATGGGTGTATGGTTCCTGTGCTCTAAAAGTCCCTGCCTGACCCTTCTCGTGTGGCTGCTCTTCCACCACTCCATCTCCTGCTCTGGAGTCAGGCAGGGCAGAGCACGAGATCTGTCCGTTACATCCCACCAGAGAAGAGAAAACCATCCACGTACCTGCTTGAAGAGCTCCTCCTCCCAGTACTGTTGCTCTCGTCAGCCTAGGGGGCAAAAGATATTAAAAAAGGCTGTTTAGGATAAGGCAGGCAAGATTGCACTCCAGCTCTTCCTGCTAGCTCTCTGCATCAAAAATACCTTGGGTTTTTCCATTCTGAATTACACACATGCTCAATTCTCAATTTTGGCAGGACATGTCATGCACTTAAATCCAAGTACACGCATTAAGTTTTCAGTAGACTGAGGCATAATTTAAGACACAGCTCCACAAGTGAGGTAACTTTCTGAGAACTCAAAAGTTTAATCCCCAGTGCATATCCCCTTGACGATGTCTCCAAAAACACCATGCTGGTAGCAACTGGTAGATCTCTTGTGCAATTATTTTATTGTGCTACCCTGGAGCTCTTCGAAGTTTAAAAGACTCCCTTCTTTGCAGAAGGAAAAAAAGGCAAAAATCTCTAAATTCAGATGGGCTAAAATTGCATCCAAACTCAGATGGCCTAAAACTACACCTAAAAGACATTGTGGCTCATATTTGCTCTGAAGGCCTGGAGCCAGTCAACTGAGACACGAGGCAGAGGGACTCCAGCAGACTTTACGTCAGCTGAATCTGGCCCAAGGAGATTAACTTGTCCAAGGGCACAGCGAACATCTGTGCCAAGGCTACAACTGGAGTCCAGCTCCCCTTTCCCACACTCAACCAAACCTCACGTGCCCACGTGCGATGGGCAGACGTGAGCCTTGTTAGGAGGGAAGGGAGCAGTAAACAAAAGGTTACGTGATCCGACCAGGAAGGCATGCAGAATGCAGAATTAAACCCGGAATAATCCCTCTTCATCCCAAGTCTTGACGCATCCAAGTCCTTGCTCTCCTGGACAAACTATTCTTAAATACCAGTTTGCAGAGAGGTGAACACCAGATCCAGTCACAAGCAGGCTTTGTGTTTGTTTTCTAAACAAACCTGTCCTGGTCCCTAATTAGAAGGGTCAAGTCAAGCACACCTCCCTCAGTTATTTATGAATTGTCTAATTCTATACCTGCTTGTCATTAGAACTGGATTATCAGGGAGTAACTACTATTTCTGCCTCTTAAAGTTGCCAGGCACTGTGTCTTTCCCCTGGTTCTCTGATTAGAGCCTTCCTTGGAAAGACAATATTATTCCAAACCCAGAAATTTTATTTCTGAATTTGTGCAAATATAAGTTAAAAGATATTAGCTGCATTTCACATTTTGTGCAAATGGCAGAAACAGGCAATTCATGTGCAGCAGGATGGGGGCTAGCCAACGATTTCGATAAAATAAACCCTTTTTTAATTTAAATGCTAATGCACTGAATTAAAATTTAATAACTGAGGAAATTGAAAAGCCGAGCAGGAATATTGGAAATAAATCCAAGCAGAAACAGCTGAAATTAAAAATTCTAGAGAGTGGGAGGATAGCAGCTAAGCTGTCTTATATGATTACATTTTTTTTTCAGAACGAAGGGGGGAAGGAAAAAAAAAATCCTATCTTTGGCTGGCTGTAGGGCAGTAAATCGAGAGTGCTGTGATTTATTGCTCAATTTTCCTGAGGGAAAAAGGCTTTCTTTCATGCTGAAATATTTCATAAATTTCAAGCCAGCATAAATTCTTAATTTAAAAGTTATGGAGGTCACATTTAGTGCACTGGTGCAATTCTGAAATCTTAAAGGAATAGCAACCAAAAATTACAATTTGATTTTATTTTTTAATTCTTGATGTGAAATTTTGTTCAAAGAGTTTCTCCAAGTTACACAAAGCAGAAACACATCTTGGCTTCTGAAGGTTTAAGAAATGCACTAGAAATGAAGAGATAAAAATCTAATTGAATTACAAAAAGGTTTTTTTTTTATTATTATTGTTAGCCACTTGAGGAATTTCTATTAAAAAATTTCCTCCCTCCATTGCCTGGGAAAAGCCAGAAGGGAGGAGCTGACAATGTAATTGCTTCTGTTAGATCTCCAATCTTTTGTGAGCACTGATATGTTCATTTGTTATACAGCTGTTCAGCTACAGAAAGGATGTCAGAGCACCCATAATTCAAAGCAATCAATCAAAAATTAATGATTTGTCATGCTTACACAATGGAAAAAAAAAAAGCTTTATGGGTTCCTGCAACTGGTAGATTGCTCAAACCTTCGGGGCATTTTCTAGGAGATTAGATCTGTGTGCAAAAAAAGACAAAAAAAAAAAAAAAGAGTCTTATTATACAGCTAGGGCAAAAACCTTGTGGGGTGCTGGGGCATCTGTATTATCTAAAATCCCTTAGAGATTGGGTACATGACAATTCCCATCAGTTTAAAGAGCTTTCTGTAAAACTCAACCTCCTAAGTCACACTGGGAGCTACATTCCTGAATCAAAGAGAAATTGCAAGGGCTCCTGCAATTATAATTCCACATTAAAAATACTTACTGAATATAAAGGTTGCCTGGACAAGTACTCGTGAAAGTCACAAAATACAGAAGTCAAAGCTAAACACACAGCCTTAACTCTGCCTTCACGTAGGTGCGTTAGGATTACCCCATTGTACCATTCCATTGACAAGATCAAATATTGTTTACCAAAAAATTAAAAGATTTCAGTTTGGGAGGCACATGGACATGTACGTAACCGTCAGCAAGCTAGCCTGAACTCAGGACAACTGTTTGAGTTTGCAGACTTAGTCATCCTCTTTATAAGCAAGAATTCCTTTATAAGCAAGAATTCAAGTTCAGAACCTGCTCTGAAAGGGTATGTGCTACAGATATGAAGTGTGTCGATATCCTAATATGTCATTTTTTATTCTAGATTACGTACACGTGTTAGCTTGTCTCTCTCCTATGATTTACTGCCTAACCTGATACAGATATTAGTTTGCAGAAGATCACGCGTGTAATTCATTTTATGTTCTTTTTCATATTTGTATATAGAGTTTAGAAATTCATTTCACTAGAAATAAATTACTACATGCCTTTAGACCTATGCTTGTGGACCACTACTGAGTGACTCTTAAGTATCTCTGGGTAGAAATTTAAGACTCAGTGCAACCCAGAGTAGAGCTAAGTGTGCACACATCTGTAGCTCTAGCATCAAGACTCAGCGTGGGCAGCACGCAGGCAACCAAACAAAAGGTGACACCAGAAGGCTGCCACACAGGCCAGTTCTATCCATAATCTTCACTTTTTACTTACCATCCCCACTCTACGCGTTAGCCCTGCCCAATTTCCCCATTTTGTCCGCTGCTCCTTAAATTATTTTTTATTTTTTTTTTATCTCCTATTATTTTGATTTTTGACTTCTCATGAGCAATTCATGGACTCTCTCCCCCTTGGGACTTAGCACATACCAGCACAGAAGGCAAGACGTGCATGAATATCACCCAAAGCAGTCCACTTTGGTGGATGCACGCGCGTCCTGCGGTTTTGCAACGCCAGCTCCCAGAAGGGCGCGAAAGGGAGGTGCGGCGGTGCAACCCTCACGAGCGTTCGTCCTTAGAGGGCCCCCGACACCTATGCAATTCCCAGCAGCGCCCCGCTCGCATCCCAGTGGGCAGGCACAGAGCCTTTCCAAAGCCCACCCAGCCCCGCAGGACTGAGACCCTTTCCCCATCTCATGTCATATATAAGCACAGAGCCAAAACTGTCGTTACACACGTGCTTTTTGAGGAGTCCTCGAATTTAGAGAGGTGATGGAAGCCAGGGAAGCGTGGGTTTTCTTTGTTTTAAAAGGAAAAAAAAAAAAAAGAAACCAGAAGAAATAAGAGCTCTAAATCCAGAAGATTCGGCTTCAGCCAGTATGCCCCTTGGAGGCGCAGGCATCTCCAAGGCTGGCATCTTCCCTCAGCTTCCCATGCGGGGAAATGCTCAAAACCAGCACGCAGGCAGAGCTGGAGTGCCGCGCCACACATTGCTGATGGCCGCTGTGAGCCCCCGGCCCGGTGTCTTGTTTTGGATCCATTCGGACCTAAACATTGAACCAAGTCAGAGTGAAATCAGATCTAGCTGTCATTAAGCTTCCAGAAGCCTTTTTAACAAGCACCTTCTCACCAAAAGTGCCTCTCTTCTCACAAGCACAACAGAAGCCTTCAGCATGCACACTGACCCGCTTTCCAAACATGCAATTAACTGCCAAATTTTCTGTAACATCAATTTATCTTCATTACAGCTCCTTAGGAATAGGATCTGTTTTGTTCAGCATTTGTACTGCACCGAGCACAGCAGATCCCAGCCCATTCCAAAGCTGCAAGGTTATTTAATAATAACTAATCAGCTACAGCACTGAGACCACTAACGTGCTTTTTAGCACGACTATGTCCAGCCTCCTCGTTCCTCAAGTGAAACACGGGAAGATAATTCCCTCCATTCACACACAGTATGTGAAGGTGCAAAAGTGTAATTAAAAAAAACATTATGGCAATTTCCTCAAACTTTGCAAAATAAATACACTTACAAATTAAAAAAAAAGAGGGCTATTTCGGAAAGTTACTAGCAACTGTATATAGGAAGTAACAGGGGCATTTTACAGCTGGGGAAAAAAACACCTAAAACTATGGTCACTCTTACCTAATCTCAGCCACCTTACAATCCAATGTTTAATCCGAGTCATCTAGCTTCCTTCTGCTGTCCATGTGAAAACGATAAGGGCAGCACAGCATGAAGCTGAGAACCCTGTCCTACCTCTGTTATAGTTAGGTGGCTCCTACCCTGAGCAACCTAAACCAAATTTCACTTTCCAAAATAACCTTGATGCCAAGGAGCCAAAGGACTTGATTTGGTGGACATGCCTGTGGTGGTAGCGCTGGCTTGGGCAGTGCCCCTTGTCGCTGGGTGCTAGAGCTGGTATCCAGCATGGCTGGACTGCCTGTGGCCCAGGTTTTGTCTCTGTACTCCACCTGTTTCCTGCAAGTGACACTGGCTGCCTAGCTCTGATCCGCACTTTGTTGTTGGTCCTACTCGCAGCTTCTCGAGCTGTGACCGTGAGGACTCACCCACCAGGGTAAGGCAGGCATCGTATATTAGATAAGCCAGGGTTGAGAGGTCATCA